AGGCCATACCACCCCCTAGCAGAGCCCCGACAGAGCCAGGGCACCCAGGCCCCGCCAGGCAGCAACCAGGGCGGACCGACGTGCACCCCACCACCCAGCCCAGACACCGAGAGCCACCAATGCACCGGCGGCAAGGGGGTCCCCCGCCAAAGGGGGGCACGACCGGGGGGGAGTGGGCCCCACACCAAACGTGGGGCCCAAATTGATCCAAGAGAGGGGGGACCACCAAAAACCCAACCTGAGCAACCAACAGGCACAAACGATAGCCGCTCTCAATGTTCTGCTAAACAAGCCTGCACCAGTGGGTTCTACGTCTTGCTCAAGGTTTTTGTGAGTACTCAGATGGACTGAGTGGATGAGAATGTATGAGGGCCCTGTATTGTTTGTCAAGCTTAATGAAGACATTCTGAGTTTTGGGTTTTTGACTATTTCTCTCTTATTTTGTAACAAACAAAGCCTTAGTGATTAATGCTAAAGGGAAATGTTATTTTGCTTTTTTGTTAAAGAAAAAAAAAAATAGAAAGACTGCTTGTTTTATTTTTGGGGATATTTTTAGTTTATTGCTCAAAAGTTTATTAATTAGAGGTTCATATTTTGGTTACACATAATTTAATCTTTTGTGAGTTTAATAAAACTAGGCCTAATCATTTTGCCTAAATTTGAATACTTCTCTGGGTCTCATTCTTTGAAAACAAATATACACAAAGTTTTGTAATTATTCCCCTTCCAGGTACACCTTCGTGGTGGCTACCTCATCATTTAATGAACCCAAGCACCCGTCCATTCTGGTTTTTAAGAGTGGCTAAAGGGTGCTACAGTCCTAACCTTGTTCTTTTAATCACTATCCAGAATTTGGGACTGTAGATGAGGGCAGGAACGTAGATTGACCGGTAAACAGAGAGTTTTGTATTGCACTTCAGCGTGGTCCTGGTATTTTGTTCATTTTGTCATGTCCTAACTAGTCATAATAACAGCCAACCCCAAAACACTGGAACGCTAACACAGTACTGTTAATGCTGATGTGGTTTGAAATTAGAATTTATAGCTGAATTCACGTACACATTTTGCCAATTTTGGAACGAAGGAAACATAAATTTGAACCTTATTTAAGCCCATTTTAAATGGTAAATGGTAAATGGACTGTTCTTATACAGCACCTTTCTATCTTATTTCAAGATACTCAAAGCTCTTTACAACAATCTGTGCCTCATTTACCCATTCATACAGCTCTATACTAGATCTCTACAAAGCTAATTGAACAAATCATTCTAAAGAGACTAATCAGAGCTTTATCACATTCAAACACCGATGGGACACACATCAGAGGCTATGAGGGGTTCAGTGTCTTGCCCAGGGACACTTCGGCATGTGACTGCTGGTGGATTTGAACCCCCAACTCTCGCATTAGAGGACGACTGCTCTAACCACTCAGCCACAGCCGCCCCTTTTAGCTCACAGGGAAAAAAGACAAACTACAAGGTGAGTAGATGACACAAAATATGAATGTGTATTTGCTGCACAGTTCATTTATCATTTAAAGCTGATATCATGATCCCTGTGTGAGATGATGTAGAGGTAGGGCAGCCGATTTGGGACCAGAAAGTCACAGGTTCAACTACCGTAAGGAAACAGAGAATGAATCAACTTCCTGACTGTTTGGAGCTTGTTGTGAACCGGTGTTACACCATATTCTGTGACCACCGTAAATTGTGACTGTAGGGGGCGGTGTTGCATTCACTGTTGCAGGTCACAGAATATGGTGTAACACCTGGTCCAATGACCGAACCAGAACCAGCTTCCTCTGACCTTGTTTCACAAACTAAAAGCAAAAAATATTAATCTCTAAACCTATTTAAAAAACCTATAAACATATTAATCTCTAAAACTAAACCTAATGCAGCTACAGCTGGTGGTGGTGCGGGGTGGTCGACCCCCCACTGTTTTAGTTTTGTTTTTGACATGCTGCATGTTTCTGTTAGTTTTGCAGCTTAATAATAAAAACTAATAATTTAGTTTTTCCTGTGATTATTTGCTGTATGATAAATGGTCAAAGTATAATATACACTCCCAATGTTTTGTTGGTCTTTTTTTTTTGTAAATAATGACTTTTTTTGCAGTTTTATTTATTAATTTATTTTTGTATCTTTAGATCCTATGATGTCATCAAGTACTCAAGTTCTACTCGAGTTTTATTGTGTTAATGTCGAGTTTTAAAATTATGTAGTCGTTCAACCCCTAATATGGTGTTCAAAGGATCTTTTTTTCTGTATTAAGATTTAAATTGTTTATATATATACACACACACACACACACACACACGCACGCACACACGCACACACACACACACACACACACACACACATATATATATATATATATATATATATATATATATATATATATATAATTGCATTCACGCTATCTTTTTTACTAGAGTTTACAAAAACAGAATGGGAGGCAGATCTTTCAGTTCTCAGGCTCCTCTCTTGTGGAACCAACTTCCAATCTCTGTCCGTGAGGCTGACACATTATCCAGTTTTAAAACTGGGATTAAGACTTTCCTTTTTGCTAAATCCTATAGTTAGGGTCGGCTTGGGTTTCCTGAGCTGTCCCTTAGTTCTGCTGCTATAGGCTCAGACTGCTGGATGACAAACTGACCACACTTTTCACTCTGCTACTGTCTTTACTTATTCTGCTCAACATGTTTTGTATTTGTAATTATTTTTCTATCCTTCATGTGTTTTTTTGTCTTTCAGATACACCTGGACCTATACCTGGACCTGGACCTATATCTGGATCTGGACCTATATCTGGACCTGGACCTATATCTGGACCTGGACCTATACCTGGACCTGGACGTATATCTGGACCTGGACCTATATCTGGACCTGGACCTATACCTGGACCTGGACGTATATCTGGACCTGGACCTATATCTGGACCTACCATACCATACCAATTTATTTATAGAGCACTTAAAACAGCAACAAGGCCAACCAAAGTGTTGTACAAAAGAAAACAAACTTGCACAGCAGACAGGAAAACATAAAATAGAAATACAGATACAAATAGCAGCAGGAGCTAACTAAAATGGCCAACAGAGTAGAGAACAGACCGGACCAAAACAAATCACAACGTGTTAAAGGCAAGAGAATAGAAGTGGGTCTTCAAGCGAGACTTAAAGACTGAGAGTGTGGGAGCCTGCCGGACACACAGTGGCAACTCATTCCACAGTCGTGGACCTGTAACAGGACCTGGACCTATACCTGGACCTGGACCTATATCTGGACCTGGACCTATACCTGGACCTGGATGTATATCTGGACCTGGACCTATATCTGGACCTGGACCTATATCTGGACCTACCATTCTGTGTTGGTCTGTCTCTCCTTCCTGTCCTCTCAAACCAGTCGGTCAAAGCAGATGGTCTCTTGTCCTGAGCCTGGTTCTGCTGGAGGTTTCTTCCTGTTAAAGGGAGTTTTTCTTTCCACTGTCTCCACTGTGCTTGCTCAGGATGGGAGACTGCAGTGAAGCCAAGATTCAACTTGTCTGCTGGATTCCTTAGATAGAGAACTTTACTTATTGGCTTTTATATGAATGTTCCTGTAAAGTCCCTGAGACAACTTTCTTGTGATTTGGCGCTATATAAATAAACTGAATTTAATTGATCCCCATTGTGATGGGTCGGATGGATGCATATAATTTTTCCTGCCTTATCGACATTAAATGGTAAAAAGACTTTACGTCTCTTGATTTTATTGAGTTTGTGTGATTTGTCTCTCCACCTGGGAACGAAAAGAAGCAGAAGGGCGCTGTGGTCCGATGGCTGACAGTAATTTGACACATTCCTCAAAGTTTTCAACCAAAATCTTGATGACAAATAAGTTGTCCACCATGAGGTTTGATGTGACCACTTAGTTTGCAGTTACTTTCCAAGAAGTGGACAGAGTGTTACATAATCTCAATGTTTCACACACAGAGTGTGTTCATGAGTCTATTCTTCGGGGGATTGCTGCCAAAGGGTATTGGTACTATGAAGGCTGAAGTTAAATGAAGTGTTCTCACTGCAAATGAGCTGTCATCCGTTAAAAGGAGACACGTGCAGTTTCATAACTGTAATTACGTGTTGTGTGGAGCTGTACAGACCTGCACACATGGAAACATTACATTGTTTTCTTACCTCCGAGACCAGGCCGCAGACGATTGTCATACCCATCCAGTAGTCTGTCCAAGATGCGCGTGAACAGTGTGATATTGGTTTTGAAGTCATCAGATGCAGCATCAGCATTCACTGATCTAGTCAGCAGACAAACAACAACATCATGACCAGCTGAGACACAAAACTATCCATCTACCAAACCATTTTCTTTAATCAATTTTCCTTTCAGGTGCCTATCTCCTTCAGTCACTGTGTGAGAGGCAAAGGTACACCATGGACAGGTCTCCAGTCCATCATACATAGACTTTAGAGACACGCAACCATTCACTCTCTTACCCACACATCAGGACATTTGAGAGTTACAATTAGCCTAACATGCATGTTTTTAGGCTGTGGGAGGAAATCTGAGTACCTGGAGAAAACCCACATATGCACAGGGAGAATATGCACGGCCCTCGTGCCGACCCACATCAATTATTTCATTGTGTATGTATTTGGAATATCTTTTCCTCAGAGTTTCAGTTATAAAAGGCAAAAGGCTTATTATTATCAGAAAGTGACTCCGTACATGCCCACACAAGCGCACACTTATGCTCCTTTTCCACAGTTTCCACAGTTCCTCCTTGGCCCCGCTTTACCCTGCTCAGACCGGTTCTGTGTTCTTCTCCACAGGGCCTTCTTCGTGGAACCGGCCTGTTTTTCAGAACCTACTTCTCTGCGGTTCCACTGAGGCCAAGCAGGACCCTAAAACATGACGTCAGCGCACTGTGGGTTACTGATTGGTCAGGAGGCCGAGTCATTGGTTGGAGGGCGGAGTTTCGGAAACTTCCACCGCATCCCGATCCGCCATTTTCTTTTCAACCCGCCATTAGAAACAACTCGAATCTATTTTGCGTATTTTGGAGTATTTTTAAGGTATAAACAAACAATAATGTCACAACCCTGGTCAAATGCTGAAGTTCAGACGTTTTTGTGTTTGCTGGCCGACAAAAAAGTTCAGAGCGAGCTAGATGGAGTGACACGTAACGAGAAGGTTTTTAAAGAGATGTTGGTGCGTTGATAATAATGATCCGCCCATTAAAAGAGCACTAATGGGCACTGTGGAAATGGAAAATGAAGCGGTCCGACCTGTACCAGCCCAATAAGGGCCGAGCAGGACCTGGTAATGAGGCAATAACAGTGTTTCTCATTGTGGCTGCCCAGTTCAAGGCACAACACTCTGGAGCTGATCTGATCTTGGAGCCAAAACACAACTGATATATAAATGTCATCAGAGTAGATTAATGGTAAATAAATTCAGTTAAGGTCTCACATTAAAGCTTTTAATCACCGCTGTAGACAGCTCTATTATACAGATGCTTCAGATTTTGGTGTGTTTAACTTTACGCATTCAATGGGAAAATATGCTAAATTAATAAAAGTTAAACTAAGTTTAAACTATTTTTCTTTAATTACCGGACATTCCTGAGTGTGTTGGCTTAATGTGACAAAATCACCAGCAGAAATATTCGCTATAAATATTTCACTAAATATTGTCAAGTGAAAGTTATGAATTCTAGTTACTTAAACATAGTCAAACAATAAAAGGTTGGATAAGTCTTCTTTTAGGATTTACTGGCATTGCATCAAAAAGAAAACATATATGATCAAAGAAATCAAGCAAAATCCAGCGATGTATAATTCAAATATTTAAATGTATCCATGAAATGAGGTTAATTTATCTGGCTTATAATTTTGAGATAACATTACAGTAGTCTGAGAGCTATTGAAATGGATAAGTGCTTTGTGGTATTTAAAGCCAGTAAGTCCCTAGAATATAATATAAAAGTATGATTTCTGAATACTTTGATATGTATTTATTTTTTGTTTTATTAAATCCTTTCCTAAAGCTTTCACCCTCAAAAATAACAACTAGCTCAAGCTACTGGAAATGTTCGCCACAGTTTCTCCCAGTTGCTGAATAAGAAAACGGTGGTGATAAGTCAGAGCTAGTCATATTTACTGTTTGAGAAGCAAAAACAGCAGGTGCTTAGATGTTGCTGAGCTTGTTAGCTAAACTTGTAGGGTTAGTTTCCTCACAATAGTATGCTAATCCAACTAAATATTATACTAATTATATATTATACAAACA